CTCAGGTTAAAACTTACACAACCATCAATGCTGCAACAAGTACTCTACCGTTCTAGCAACCATCCCGTACCCAACTGTATGTACACACGTGAACACACACATAATAACCGTACCCCATACCATGATACAATTGTGTCCCATCATTTTAAAAAATAAAAATTTAAACACCCCGTCTTTCATTAAAAAAAAAAAAAAAACACTTGCATAATCATGCCTAAATAATCGTCACAATACCATACGAGACATTCTTGCACATACCGTGCTTAATATTTGCCACATTAACATTTAAAATAAAACTGCACACACCGTGCATACCACTTGTCGTTACCACCTAAATCACATTTATAATTATATCATAATTAATATGTTTTCAATTATTTATATATTTCATCGTCATGGCCATATAACACACATTTTAGCAATTAAACATGTACGTATGTGAACACTTAGCAAATAAGCATGCCTTTTAAAACCATAAACACATAAGCAAGTAACAACTAGGCATGCTGCTCAAAACAATAAACACTTTAACAGGCAATACTTCTAAATCAACTCAAGTCCCACTTAGGTTAACCCTACCCGTCGTCCTTAGGTTAACCCTACTCGTCGTCCTTAGGTTTTCGAACCTAAAACTCTGATACCAAATTTGTAACGACCTAAAATAATAATAATAATAATAACAAATAAATAAAAATAAAATTTTTGGCATGACCTACATAGAAAAAGTCCTACTACGACCTGCTCAAATACATATAAAATGCAATGGCCTCACTTAGCCTCATAACTAATCTATTATGTCCCAACACACAATGCAATAATATACAACATCCCCAAAATCAACACATACATATAAAATGTCTCATTCCTCCATCTCCTCAAAACAAGGAATTACTTTAATTACATTAAATTACAGTTCATGAAATATATTTATTTACACAAATTCTAGCATTACAACACTATACAAGTTACACTTAATTAATTATTTTTTTTTTTATAAAAGGTATATGATCATGTTTCTATACAAAAGATAACAAAATAAAAGTTCCAGTCCGGTCTTAATTTGCTATGGGTTGTCACCTGCCCCTTCTTTCCCCAAACTTGAAAATTGTTAAAATAATGGGGTGAACATAAGTTCAGTAGGAGGTGTCTGAGACACACCTCTTATGACCCCGTGAATTCACGTAAAGAGTAGGCAAAAAGTAGACGGGATCATGTCATAAGGAATGCACATCAACAACCACAACTATAAGCTTATAAATAATTGTCATTGTAACACAAATACACCAAATATGCAAATGATGTGCAATGTCATGCCAATGTCACTTTCCATTTTTCAAAACAATTCCTTTTCACAGTTCCAAACCGGTAATGCAACCCGACCCATAACACCTCTATGGCGTCACGAGGAAAGGGGTTGGTTAGCTTTCCCCGACCACATGGCACCTCCATGGCGTCATCTGGGCTTAGGTAGCTCAACCACACTAGAGTCTCTCTCAAGTTCCCTCTAAATCACATTAAAACCACGGACCACTAGGCGTCTCCCAGGTGTGCGGTTTTCACAAACATTTTTCAAAAATTTTTTCCAAAAACAATTCCATTGCCTTTTTAAAATAATTTTTCTTCCATTCCATGCCCAATGAAAATGCATAAATGCACCATGCCTCTTAAACATATAATTCTTTATACATTTGAATTCTTAATCATAAACACAATTGGGAAAAAAATTATATAATACACATATCAGACTTCTTACTATATCTCCGGCAACTCAAATACATTAGACATGGAATATAATCATTTAAGGCATGTTTTTTCATAAAATGACAACTAACACATAATCACATATCACATATACAACAAATAAATCATTTTTGTAAGGATCCACACAAATTAAACATAATATACAACAATTCATGAAGAATAATTCACAAAAATCTAAGAAAAATGTGAATTAGAAGCCCTTGCCTCTTAATTGAAGAAAAGACCCAAAATATGCCCAAAATTTCGAAATCCAATGGTGGTCAAACGGGACTCTGCTCCGATCAAAACGTAAATCTCGGCGCGCCCGTCGACTTTGCCTTAAGTGGCAAGATCAAAATCCCAAAGACTAAAGAGAGATCAAGGCTTGAATTGTTTAAAAAAGAAAAAGAAAAAAAGAAAGAGCAGAGAGAATGTGTGAGAAGGAGTGAGAGAAATGATCAACATAATGGCCTAAGGCCATTAAAGTGAACAAACCCACTTTCACGCCATTAATCTTCACTTTTCTCTTTTCAAATCTTGGCAGATGCAACATATAGTCTCATTTGTACTCTCTTTACACACACACACACACACACATAAAAGTGATAACGCAATATCAAACGTATAATATCTCTTGTGGGACTCGCGCTAGTACACATTACCATTTCCCATTTCCTTTCACTCTTGTCCCACGGCTGGCAGCATCCCCTTCTTCTATCAAATTACAATATATTATATATATATATATATATATATATATATATATATATAATGTCTATGGGTAGCAGGCCAGCCGAAGTGAATTGAGAAAGATGAAAGTGGAATGGAAGGACCCATATAATGGATTTGTTTTAGTTATTACATTATATATATATATATATATAATATGTAACAAAAATCAAATAAACTGTTTCCAATTAATCAATCTCCAATTGATAAGTCTCCAATCATAATTAATCAAAATTATAATGAAATAAATTAAAATTTTAAAAAAAAATCCGGGTTGTCACAAGGGCTTATCCTGTGAAATTTGAGGTCAAATTTTTTTGTTCATGATCATCTGATGCAGTTGAGATAACATAACCCTCTAAGAAAATCACCATAAGGGAAATGTTCAAGCTTTGAACTCTAATGTAGAAATAATAAAAAAGTAGAGGTTAGTTTTGCATTTTTGAAGTAATTTTCTTTCAACTGAAATCATATGGAAACCATCTTTGCTGTCAAAAGCAAGAAGGTAATACTAAAATGTAAACTGACTGGTGCCAGGTTAGAGAACTATGTAATGAAAGTCAAATTTTAAGTCTTTGACATGAACAGAATGCAGATTAATTTATTAGAATAAGGCACACAACTAGCCTTGTCAAGCTTGAACAGGACTAGTTTGGCTTGATTCAGACAAGTTTTTTCATACTATTCTTAGCTGTGGTATGGTCAGTGATTCCACAAATTACATTGATATGGAGAAAATGCATTGCGTTAGTTTTTCGTTTTCTATTGAGGTTTCAGTTCCAATTGTTTGGCATATAATCTAAAAATCAATCACTCACATGATGCATTCTCAGGAGCTATTCGCTGCTGGTACAGATACTAGTACCTCAACGATTGAATGTGCGATGCCAGAATTGATAAAAAAAAATCCAGAATCCATAAAGAAAGTCCGCAAAGAAATGACGAGAAATCAAACAAGATTTGCTAAAAGAATCCCATCTACCACAGCTAAATTACCTACAAACCTGTTTCAAAGAACCTATGAGGTTGCACCCTCCAGGACCATTTCTGCTTCCTCACCGTTAAATTAAATAAAGTAAGCTTAGCGTTGAACAATACTTGGTCCGGTGTATGTGGTAAAATGGGCCATACCATCTTCCTACGGGTTAACCTGAGACGTGGAAGGAAGGAAGAGCTCCAAGAAATGCTGCCCTTTGACAATGATCACGATCATGGTTGCTGTTCCAGTAACGGTGAAGGGCCCAGCACGACTCATTCTTGATTTATCTATTGGCTTCATCCTTCTTCTATCTTTATGTAAGTGTAAAATTCTTGGAAATTGCTAGAATTGGGTTTTTTTTTATCTTTATCTTTATGTAAGTGTAAAATTCTTGGAAATTGCTACCTGATGACCATTTCTGCTTCCTCACCGGAGAGTGAAATACATCAAACAATCAACCAGCCCAACAATAATACCACTTTAACATTTGAAAAAAACCACTGGTCATCAGGTAGTTAGCAATGGCTATTTCATGTCAATCCGGCTAAGAGAGGAGGGGACAATCAGGGATGGCACTCGATCACCCCCCTGGAGCTCAATCTGTAGGCGTTGGTGGTGGGCGATTACCAATCGGAGCAAGTGACCATTCAATTGATAGAGCAGAAATGTATTCCCCGTTCGAAGATCTTAGGGTTCCGGCGATGGGTGGCCACCAGTTTCAGAACCGCCGACTGTGATAAGGGTCAGTTCCCGAATATTCTATTGTTTGAAGGAATATTTCCCAGCCGATATTCGTTAAAGATAAACTTAAAACGTCTCTTTCCAGCTTTGGGATCTATGCAGCCAACCCCCAGTTGATATTGATATTTTAAAATGGAAAGAAAAAATCTACAAGCTTCAATTCTGAACCACATCTGATGATTTCCTATTGTGTGTGTGTATATATATATATACATATATTTTTTTAAAAAACTTTCATCCTACCATTTTTTAACGACTTGGACATAGACGTATGCGAACAACTTTACCTTTAACAATATCATATAGACTTCTAAATGTGAATCATTAAGTTCTTTGGGCCAAGTCAATGATTCTAGAGATCTTAAGATGATATTATCAATTGTAGACTTGTGCCTTCAAATCAAATGTAACGTGAAGTACTATACAAAAATCGTAACTCTCACTTAAGGCCAATACTACCCAATGTCTGAAACTCGATCTTCAATAATTTGAGCTTTTCAGTGAATATTTGAAATTTCCCATTGAGCTTTTGATTTTTGGGTTTATAAATAATTTAAAATTAGTCACATTCAAGCAGAACATTAATTTTTCACATTAATAGCTTGTTATCGGCAAACAAATCCTACTTACTGCATTAAATTTTCCCTTGGGTTGAAATCTGAGTTAACAAATCCTACTTACTGCATCACCATCTATCTTCCCATCTTTTTGTACTATTGACCCTAGGTAACGACAAAAAGCTATTTTGAGTAAATTTTTGGTCTTGAATTGTAATATTTATATATTCATCAGCTGTAACTCTATCAAATTCACATTCCATATATTGTGTCTTAGTTTGCTAATTTTTAAGACTCTTGCCTTCTAATGTTTTTCTCCATAATTCTAGTTTTAAGCTTCCTTAGATCACATTTCTTGTCACATTTCAGACCAGCTTTGTGTCGATGATAATTACCTGTGGGATTGGAAAAAATATTTTCAAAAACACCTTCAATAATTCCCTTCTAATATAGTGGCTTTATTTGATCCACCACGCAATCAAAGCAATCCCAGTGGCTTTGATTGTCAACAAACATAATCTAAATTTTCTTTTTATAGTTGTGTCAAGAGAACATCAGTTGTTGACCTTTAAACATGCATCTCTCTATATATAGAAAAATTATGCTAATTGACAACAGTACTATTACACTGCAAAAAGCCAGATCTTGATACTGCAAGTCATGGCTGATACTATTGCAAGTGAAGCAAGCTCTCTCTTCTATCCTATACTACTCTTGCCCATCATCTTTCTCATCCTAAAGCATTTCAAATCATATTTCCTATCAAAAAGTACTCTACCACTTCCACCAGGACCAAGTCCATGGCCAATCTTGGGCAATATTCCTCATATGGGAAAAAAGCCTCACATCACTCTAGCAAACTTTGCTCAGACTTATGGTCCACTCATGTCACTGAGACTAGGAACTCAAATCATGATCATCGGATCATCGGCAACTGCTGCGGAGGAAATTCTCAAGACCCATGATCGAATCTTATCTGCACGATATGTTCCTCATGCAGTACCAGCTAAGAGCCCTAAATTCAATCACTTATCACTTGGGTGGGCACTGGAGTGCAATGATAGATGGAAGAATTTAAGAACAATATGCAGAAGTGAGCTCTTCTCGGGCAAGGCAATGGAGTCTCAAGCATGTTTGAGAGAGAGAAAGGCAATGGACATGGTGAATTTTTTGGGTGCAAAGGAGGGAAAGGAAGTGAAAGTTGGAGAACTGGTTTTTGCCACTGTTTTTAATATGTTGAGTAATGTTCTTATATCAAGAGATTTAATCATATTGGAGAAGCAGAGTGTGGATGGAGGGATGAAGGGTCTTCTAGGAAAATATGTTGATTTTATTTCAGCTCCAAATCTGCCTGATTTTTATCCAATTTTACGTGCATTAGATCTTCAGGGTTTAAACAAGAAGGCAAAGGAAGCGTTTATGAGGATGTGTGCTATGTGGGAGCCCATTATCGAAGACAGAAGAGAAGGAAGAAAAGGCAACGCTTCAGGCCAAAAGGACTTCTTGGACGCCCTCATCGACAATTCTTGTACCAATGATCAAATCAACTATCTGCTCCAGGTTTGCCCTCTTGTCTCCTCACTTGCGCATATACTCACAGATTAATATAGGGCTATATAGTTGTGGCAAAACTAGCAATTCATTTTCCTTCACTAACAAACAGCCACAGAAGTCTCCTGGTTTGGGGGAAGATAATATTATCCTCCAGTGTGGTAAGGAACGCTTGGTCATTGTATATTATTTATTTTATCAGGGCTGGTGAACAAACAAGCTTATTACTAGCAATTTGAGGTCAATTTTTGTTAAATTGTTCATTAATTGGATGTGGTTCACCAGTCTAGATTCAAGTTTCAGTTTTGTTAAATACTGGGCAAGGATTGAATTACCTTATGAGCATCTGATGCAAATGGCATGTAATTGAGATAACAAAACCCTCTAAGAAAATTACATTAAGTAAAATGTTCAAGGAAAATCAGGCTGTACTATAAAGCTATGAAATCTAATGAGGGATTCCATCAAAATTAGAGGTTAGTTTTTGCATTTTGGAAGTAATTTTCTTTCAATTGAAATCATATCGAAACCATCTTTGAACCGAATGCCAGATTAATTAGAACAAGGCACAACTAGCCTTGTTAAGCTTGAACAGGCCTAGTTTGGCTTTATTCAGACTCAAGTTATCCCATACTGTTAGTTGTGGTATGCTCTGTGACTTCAGAAATTAAAATGATGTGAATAAAATTAATGGCATAGTTTCGTTTTCAAATAAGGTTTCAATTGCAATTGTTGTCATATAATCTGAAAACCATTCATTCACACAATGCATTCTCAGGAGCTATTCGCTGCTGGTGCAGAAACTAGTGCCTTAGCGATTGAATGGGTGATGGCAGAATTGATAAAAAATCCAGAATCCATGAAGAAAGTCCGCGAAGAAATGACAAGAGAAATCAAACAAGATTTGCTAAAAGAATCCCATCTACCTCACCTACATTACCTTCAAGCCTGTTTCAAAGAAACTCTGAGGTTGCATCCTTCAGCACCATTTATGCTTCCTCACCGTGCACCTGACTCATGCAAAGTGATGAATTACACCATTCCTAAGAATTCTCAAGTACTAGTAAATGTTTGGGCGATTGGGCGAGACCCCATGATTTGGGAAGATCCATTGAACTTCAAGCCAGAACGGTTTCTCAACTCGACTCTAGATTTTAAAGGGACTGATTTTGAGTTCTTACCGTTTGGTGCAGGGAGAAGAATCTGCCCTGGCCTACCCATGGCAGCAAAGCTTGTTCCTTTGATAGTTGCTTCATTGATTCATTATTTTGATTGGTCACTTCCACATGGAAATGATCCCATTAAGCTAGACATGAATGAGAAGGTTGCTTTAACATTGCAGAAGGAACATGCCTTGGTCCTCATTCCCAAACTTAAGAAATGACCAACAGATTGTGCCAATCTTTCTACCATGTGTACTGTTATAATCACTTTCATATATTTATCTCAAAGAGTGCTCATTGTATCAGTTGTCAGCAGTGAAAGCTTCTCTTTTAAATTTCAAAACATTCTTGTATCAAGAAAAGATGGCTCATTATGATCACTTGTATCCACTGTTCTCTGTGTTCATCATCAGGAAATCTCATGAGCAGTAGATTTTTACCTCAAATTAAATTTAAAGTGGTGAGTTTCGAAACTCAATTCATTTCTTAGAAGGTCAATCAGTGTGCATTTAGTTCTATTTCCCTCCTCAATCCTCAAACGATGTTAAGTGACAACCAAACTGAAAACCAATCCATTGGTTATTTACATATTTACACTATTTCCCACGTAGGATGATTGTTGCAGTTTAGAACATTATTTTTACCACTATAACTGTAAACAAAATTTGATTTTAAGGACCTAGGATAATTTGTAGAAGCCTAAAACATACTGTTGTTTCTGCTTTCATTGGCGTGAAAAACCTAAGCCAATGAATTGAGTTCAAACTTGTTTTCTAATCTCATGTGATAAACAAGCCGCCTCAAATAATAATCAAGGATTCGGTATGCCAAGTGATTGAGTTAATATCTATTTTTCGGACCAAGATCACCTCCAGTCCAACAGTAACCCATTTTCTGCATTTTTGTTAATCAACAGTAATTACTAAAGTGGGTAAAAATGTTTATCTGTTTTATACACAATTTCCATATTTGTATACACTGTTCACAAATACTATTTCTTCTTCCCTACCTTATTTTCAACAACCCATTTTAGGAACACAAATCCGCCATTTTCTTCTTTCTCCAAAATATTGATTTTGATTTCTTTCCAAAATCCCGCCATTTCAGCAACCCTATTATCTTCTTCTTCTTTCAAATCTGGATAATTCTCTTTTATTTGTTTCAAAACGAATCACAAAACAAATCACAAACAAATAACACATCTATTTTTCAATTCCTTTGTTTTCATAAATTTTTACTCTCTTTCTTTGTATACTATGTCATTTTATTCCAAATTAACGTAGCAATATTGGAACAGAGCAACATTGGCATGATTTTTTTGTTTAATTATTTGTTTACTGCTTAACATACCAAATAGTTTGTAATTTAAATCAATATAAGTTGTACGCAACATCCCAACATAATCCTAATAAATTATTTGTACATAACATACTAACATTTTATAATTTAAGTCAGTATAAGTTGTACGTAACATTTCAACATAATCCTGTTTAACATCACAAGCAATACGTACAGAACGTCCCAACAATTTGTAATTTAAGTCAGTATAAATTGTATATAACATCTCAACATAATCCTACTTAACATCTCAAGCAATACGTATTTTGTATTTCAAGTAGTACTAACCATACTTCATTCTTATGTTGTATGTAAAATCCTAATAAAATTCTACTAAAGAGAGTGCGAACCAATCATGTTTGTACTCTTTAATCAGATAAGAAAAAACAGACCCAAAATCGAGATTTATATGAACAAAGCTTAAATTTATGGATGATACTCTGGAGTTTTTACATAATAGTCCATTGAAATTACATGGGTTTTTGGAGTTTGTTTAGATTTTGAAGTAAAGTTTTAAAGTTCAAAAGTTGTTGTGAGTTCTTGGAGAGTCCATTAATAAAAGTTGATGAAGCTTTTTGAGAGAGAAAGGAAGAAGGAAGAAAACGACGAATTTTGAATATAATATTTAGTGCGTTTATATATATAGAATACAATATTTAAAGGTTTTATATATAAAATATAAAGGTAGTGAAAATTTAATTATTTAATATTTTTAATTATTGTCGCGCTAATTTTTTTCTACTTATTTCAAAATAGAATAAATAAATTACTATTTCACGGAAGTTGATTTTCTACTCTATTTTTCTCCTTGAAATTCTAGCTCTATAGCCTGAGCTCTAGGAGTTTGACATTAAGACTGAAATTATTTAAACAAGCAAATAAATCAAGCTTGAGCAGCCAAAGACTAGCTTGCAACCCATTGCGTCTTTTCATCCTTGGGCCCCCCAGTGTAGGCTCACCCCAGTTGATATTATTAATTATTTAAAGATATTTTACTTTTAAAATGGAAAGAAAAAATCTACAAGCTTCAATTCTGAACCACATCTTACATATCTAGTCGTAAGTAAACCACGTGCTTTTTTTTAGTCAAAAGTAAACCACGTGTTCATGACATATTTCGCAACATTATTGTTGGAATTATTTGCACTCCTAAACGTCACTGATATTGGAAAACTTCAAACAAATTACAAAAAAAAAAATTCTAGATACATGAAGGCGGAACGAGGAATTCGTTTCAGGGAAGCCACGTATTAAAGACGAAATATTATTATTATTTTTTTAAATTAATAGTAGTGTAAGATAATAAGTTAAAAAATAAAAGTATAATGATGGTGGAATAATAATATTTAATAATTTAAAAATTAATTATTTTAAAAAAATAAAAACATAAAATACCGAACTTAAGTGTTTTTTTAGCAACAAATTTATTTTGCAAACTTTTAACGAAAAAAAATATAGTTTAATAATTTTTAAGGAAAATAAAAAAATAATAATGTTGGAATAATAATATTTAATAATTTAAAAATTAATTATTTTTAAAAAAATGAAAACATAAAATACCGAACTTAAGTGTTCTTTTAGCAACAAATTTATTTTGCAAACTTTTAAGGAAAAAAATATAGTTTGAATAAAGGAATGCAATTTTTTTTTCTTTTTTTTGAAAAGAAGAAGAATGAAAAGAATGAAAAGAAAGGAAAAATTAAAGAGATTGTTAGCAAGTAATTATTTTATTGGGCATTTTTATAAAATTTTATAAATTATAAGCCTATTTGTAATAAAATTTAATTGGCCCAGGTGTAAATAATTTTTTTAGGGGGAATTTTTCACTTTTTTATAAATTATTAGCCTATGCGAACTAAAAATTAATGACCAGGGTAAGGAGTTTTCTAGAAAAAAAAAAATTAATTTGGGAGACATTTTGAAAACTTTCATAAGTTATAGGCTAATTTGTAATTAGAACTAATGGGTCAGCATGGGCCCGGGCCATGCTGGCTCCGCCCTTAAGTTACATAGATTAAGAGGGCATGGAAGATGACCCAAGATAAAGGAAAATGCCAAACAACACGTAAGACTTTAGAAAATGATATACTTTATAGAGGTTTAAGTAGATTCTAAATGCAATCTTTAAAGATTAAAGTCACTTTCAATAAGTTGAATTACTATTTTGCCCATATAATTATTTGAATCATGTAAGTTCTTCGAGCCAAGTCTATGATTCTAGATGATATATTATCAATTTAAGAGTTCGGTCCTATATTTAATTATTTGAGCCGTAGACTTGATGGGCTTTTAAATCAAATTCAAACATAAATTATTTTACAAAAGAATCATATAATACAGTGTTTGGTGTGCAGGATTGAAATGGAATGTGCACGAATAAAATGGAATAAAATGTTCATTCCAACCATTCTTTTGTTTAGTGTGCAATTTAAAGTGGGAATGAAAATTCATTCCACAACTAAATCTATTAAATGGCATTCCATTCCCACGTAAATTTTTTAAAAAAATCAACTTTCCAAAAAACCTTCATATCCAAGTCCAAAAATTACCACTACCTTCCACCACAATCACCTTTGCCTTTCACCATTGATACTACTTTCCTTTACTGAAACGCCACCACCTTTCACCACTGTAACAACTCTCATCTTAGTCAGACACAATATTATCCGTTTTTGGTTCCTCGAGACCATAAACTTCTCAAGGGGTCACCCATCCTGGTACTACTCCAGGTTAAGCATGCTTAACTCTGAAGTTTTGGTGAGTTCAAGGCCAATACAGCTTTAAAACGCATTGTATCATAGAAGGGTGTTAAATCTACGTACAGCACTTGCCCTTAAGGTTGCCACAATCACCTCCCTTTGGGGCCCAACATCCTATTGGCCACACTTCTAGCTGGGTCAAACTCTGATACCATTTGTAACAACCCTTACTTTAGCCAAACATAATATTGTCCGCTTTTGGCTCCCCGAGACCAAAGACTTCCCAGAAGGACACCTATCCTGGTACTACTTCAGGTTTAACACACTTAACTCTGGTGGTCTGTTGGGTTCACGGCATGCACTGTTTTAAAACGCGTTATGTCATAGAAGGGTGTTGAGTCTACATATAGCATTTGTCCTATCTACAGATGTGGGATTATGCACCTATAGCTCGCCCAGTGTGATAGCTTACTGGTACCACCTACACACGCTTACACCCACCCACCCACCCATAAAGTCACCACCGCCACCGCCTTTTACCACCACCACCTTCCATCACCACCGCTGCCGCCGCCGTCCTACACTTCCACCACCTTCTACCACCATCACCGCCACCGCTACTACCTTCCACCACAGCTACCACTACTACCTTCCACCACTGCCATAGTCACCTCTATTGACTTTCACCTCATCACTTACACCATTATATCCTTCCATCACCACCACCACACTACTGCCATCGCCTTCCTGTTAACACCCAAATTTGACCCACATTCATATACATATTATTTTTTGCATTTTTGGGCCAACAACAATGAAAGGGTGACCTTTTAGTTCTATTTTGGTGAAACTCCCTATCATCTTGAAACACCCATATATTACATAGCTATCAAATGATGATATTACAAGAATTGGGTAAAGTTGAAGAGTGAGTTTTTAGTTTGACCAATGTTAGTATGCAATGTAAAGAAAGTCCAAAATCTTGGGCAACACACTTTCATAGTTTCCTTATCTAAGGGTGAAGAATGAGCATGGTGATGATGTGGCACACATCAAACACTGGTAACATACTTAGTAGCTATGATCTCATTTTAGTATTTATTTATTTATTATTATTTTTTATAAACCCTGGGATAACACGTGTATTATGTATTAACATAAAAAAGGACGGTATGCCCTTAGTTGACCTCGGGTTCAGGTAAGGACCGGGTTAGCAATTCGGATCCACGGGTTCGGGTCGTTACAGAGGGTGTGGATGGAGGGATGAAGGGTCTTATAAGAAAATATATTGAGTTGATTTTAGCTCCAAATCTGTCTGATTTTTATCCAATTTTAGGTGCATTAGATCTTCAGGGCTTGAAAAAGAAGGCAAAGGAAGCGTTTATGAGGATCTGTTCTATGTGGGAGCCCATTATCGAAGACAGAAGAGAAGGAAGAAGAGGCAATGCTTCAAGC